TGATAGTTCAAAAAAAAGACAACCACAACCCTGCACAAGGAGGGAAAGCCATAAAAAAGCCATTGCTGAAAAATCTAGCTATTCACAGAGAGCTGTACTGAACATGTTCATGGAAAGTTGACTGGAAGGGAAAATAGTGTAGGAAAAGTGCACAAGCAACAGGGATGACAGCAGCCTAGAGGGGATTGTCTATTAACTGCAGACTTCAGAGTCTTACCTGGGCTGAGGCAAAAAAGAATTAAACTTTCACCCAATGGTCCAGGGTGTTTTTATAAGATGAAACAAAATATTGCATTTTATGTAGAAATGAATGTTCAAGAGTCTCAAGGAAAAATGGAGAAACAGAATCCATGGTTGTTCAAGTCCAGTGTGAAGGTTCTCCAGTGTAATGGTGCAATGTCATCTGCTGGTTTTGGTGTAATTACTTGTATACAATCATTATATTTGACAGGATGGAACAGCACTCTGCCCTTCTTCAGGTTTGTGTGGAATCCTAAAGCCTGCAGCAGGGAGAGCAGCAGCAAAAACTCAGAACAGATAAGACATGAGTGACCATACATGTGATCAGACACAGCATGAAAGGAGAAGCCAGGATGGGGATGGGTTGGAGGCGGGCTGAGGCAGTTTAAACCGAAGGCCTGTTTTGCCAAGTGGATGCAAAGAAGATTATCAGCTGAGTTGTCAGCTGATGTGGGCTGATGCAAGGATCAGTTTAGCTGCCTAAACTCATGCTCGTCAAAAGTAAACCAGAAGATTTAAAAAGAACCGCATGCTTTGATCTGCTGACAAAGGTTTTCTCTTTTCCAGTAGGAAGAAGAGTCAAAATTATAGACCAAACAACGTGGACCTCAGTTCCACCTCAGCAGTGCATAAAGCCAATCCCCTCCATGCCACGACACGACACGACACGACACGACACGACACGACACGACACAACACAACACAGTGATGCAATTATCTGTAGTAAAGAAGTCCCAATCAATTAATGGGTTAAAAAAAAATCTATCTATTCTACATTTGAACAATTAAGCTAAGAGCATCACCATAAAGCATTTACTGATGCTTACCTTTTTAAATAAATAACAAAACTACCTTTCTGGCCTTTATGGATGAACCGTGTTATCAAATTATCAACAGGCCAATTGAACCTCTTTAGTCGTAAACAAAACAACCATTTTTGGTTTATAATCACCTAATTTTCTGTAATGAAAAGCAGCAAAGATTCAGGTACTTTGTTTTCCTGTCGTGTTTTTGTTATTCTCACCACCAAAGCACTGTTTACTCTCGGATTAACTCAGAGAGACAGAGTAATCCAGTGATCGCTCATTGACTTTTAAATTCATTGCTCATTAGAGCTTCTCATTTGCCATTTTGAGACCACTCCAACTGCTTTATTGAATAATTGACTGTTTTCTTCAGCCACCCTAAATAAATGCTAATTCTTCATTGATTTTTCTTAAACAGCCCAATGATGAACGTCTAGGTTGACCTTTTGCTGAATGACTTGCGTAACAGAGCTTAGCAGCATCATAAAGGACACACACACTCAGACTGATCCTTTCCTCGATAAGTGTCCTTCTTTTGGGAGATCTGTAAATAGCACACATTCGCTGTAACAATAATTTTCTTTCTTGAGTTACCCACTGTGAGCCAAAATTATACTTTCCTCTACATTTGTCCCAGTTCTGTCAGTTCATGCCGAACTTCCACTTGAGAGGATATTGCCTGTAGCTACAAGTTTAAAAAATACAGAATGTGACCTGCTCTTACGAGTTTGGAGGAAAGTTGACACACTTATTTGAAAAACACAACTACTTTATGCACCATTGAATCCAGTGAAAGAAAAACTGGGTTTATATTTCTTTGTGGAGTATAAAGACACTATGAGTACATCCCCAGCATCGAGCTGTGTGCTGTACACTGCTGAGGAATAACACTCACAAGAACAGAACTCAATGTCCTGCGGTCCCCTGTGGTTTCAAGAGCGGCACAGTTTCCCCAGCATGCACCATTAATTCTCAGTCGCCGGGAAACTTATTTCTGATGGTTGCTGCATAAAGGAGCATAAAGACAGAAGCACAATTCACAAGCTAATGTGAGCCATTAAGACTGTCAATCAATAATTTAATATCAGGCTATAAGAAAGACAGGATTCATGCAGGATTCATGAACAGCTGGAGTCCAGGGTTCAAGGGGTGGGTGATCATATATATAAATCAATCAATCAATCTATCAATCTATCTATCTATCTATCTATCTATATATGTATGTATGTATCAGTGGCAGCTGCTGGTCTTTCAAGGAGGGGAAGCTCATTTTTCTGGCCTACATCATAATTGTGTTTGTTTATTTGTATGTAACAGAACAGAGTCGCCAAACACAACGGCAGTCGTTTTAAAAGACAAAAGTCGCTGAGGATCGGTAAAGTCCCGGGAGCAGTTAAGAACAATGGAATGAATAACTTGGAAAATGCTTTGGTAGATGTTTTATTCTTCAAGATCGCTGATTTGCTTGTTTAGCTGTCAATCAAAAAAGGATTTCGCCTCAGACAGCTCATCCAATCATGGATGCAGAAGCTCGGAGTCCGGGAGAAAGTCGGGACCGCCCTCTCGCCATAGAACTCCAGAGACGCCGAGCGTCCGATGGGCGGGACAAAGCCCAGCATTTATCCAATGAGCTTCTAGTTTCGCTGCTGGAACAACCCACTTTGAGCTTCCACATTGAAGTCAGCAGAAGCCGAGCATCCGGCTGTTTAAAGCGCTGAGGCGTTGCGAGGATGAATGAGAACAAAGTTGTGCAGAATCAGCTTCTTATCACACTGTGATGAGAAGCTGATTCTGAACAAAAGATGAAGGCTTTCTAGCGCGTATTTAGTTAATGAAATATACACACAGCAGTACGTATTTCACCCCTTTTCTTTTTTGGGGGGGTGACATTTTAAGGGAAGCAGAGCTTCCCTTGCAGTCTTAGAGCAATCGCCACTGCTATATATATATATATATATATATATATATATATATATATATATATATACACTCACCGGCCACTTTATTAGGTATACCTGTCCAACTGCTCGTTAACACTTAATTTCTAATCAGCCAATCACATGGCGGCAACTTAGTGCATTTAGGCATGTAGACATGGTCAAGACAATCTCTTGCAGTTCAAACCGAGCATCAGTATGGGGAAGAAAGGTGATTTGAGTGACTTTGAATGTGGCATGGTTGTTGGTGCCAGAAGGGTTGGTCTGAGTATTTCAGGAACTGCTGATCTACTGGGATTTTCACGCACAACCATCTCTAGGGTTTACAGAGAATGGTCCGAAAAAGAAAAAATATCCAGTGAGCGGCAGTTCTGTGGGCGGAAATGCCTTGTTGATGCCAGAGGTCAGAGGAGAATGGCCAGACTGGTTCGAGCTGATAGAAAGGCAACAGTGACTCAAATAACCACCCGTTACAACCAAGGTAGGCAGAAGAGCATCTCTGAACACACAGTACGTCGAACTTTGAGGCAGATGGGCTACAGCAGCAGAAGACCACGCCGGGTGCCACTCCTTTCAGCTAAGAACAGGAAACTGAGGCTACAATTTGCACAAGCTCATCGAAATTGGACAATAGAAGATTGGAAAAACGTTGCCTGGTCTGATGAGTCTCGATTTCTGCTGCGACATTCGGATGGTAGGGTCAGAATTTGGCGTCAACAACATGAAAGCATGGATCCATCCTGCCTTGTATCAACGGTTCAGGCTGGTGGTGGTGGTGTCATGGTGTGGGGAATATTTTCTTGGCACTCTTTGGGCCCCTTGGTACCAATTGAGCATCGTTGCAACGCCACAGCCTACCTGAGTATTGTTGCTGACCATGTCCATCCCTTTATGACCACAATGTACCCAACTTCTGATGGCTACTTTCAGCAGGATAATGCGCCATGTCATAAAGCTGGAATCATCTCAGACTGGTTTCTTGAACATGACAATGAGTTCACTGTACTCAAATGGCCTCCACAGTCACCAGATCTCAATCCAATAGAGCATCTTTGGGATGTGGTGGAACGGGAGATTCGCATCATGGATGTGCAGCCGACAAATCTGCGGCAACTGTGTGATGCCATCATGTCAATATGGACCAAGCTCTCTGAGGAATGCTTCCAGCACCTTGTTGAATCTATGCCACGAAGAATTGAGGCAGTTCTGAAGGCAAAAGGGGGTCCAACCCGGTACTAGCATGGTGTACCTAATAAAGTGGCCGGTGAGTATATATATATATATATATATATATATGTATATACAGTACAGGCCAAAAGTTTGGACACACCTTCTCATTCAATGCACTTTCTTTATTGCCATTACTATTTAAATTGTAGATTCTTAGTGAAGGCATCAAAACTATGAATGAACACATGTGGAATCATGTGCTTGTGCAGTCACTAAGTACTTCTGTCATCTAAGTACTTCTGTCACCACCCCTCACAATGCAACCATCGCCAACCTCAAACAAGACATCCAGAAACTCATAGCAGAGCTAAAAGCCAAATTGGACTTACTCATTGCATGCATGAATGTCGCTCTCAGTCAGACCCGCCGGATCAGCTCCCTCCAGGCCTCTCTCCAGGAAACACTTCCCTGGGACCCTGCCAGCCCTCGGCCCTCCTCGAGCTCCACACCACATACTATCCGGACCTCACAGACAAAATGCCCTCCCTTTTCTGAACACTCCCCTCCTCACTCCACTGCGTCATCCTCCATGTCAGTGTAAACGACACCTTGCGCTATCAATGCGAGAAAACAAAACAAGATTTCAAAAAACTTTTACTGTCTGTCACCAACTGTGGCAAGTCAATATTCATCAGCGGACCCCTGCCTAATGTCCTCCCGCACAAGGAGCGTTGCACCCGACTCCTAACGCTGAGCTGCTGGGCTCAGACCTACTGCTGCGCACACAAAATAGACTTAATCGACAACTTTCACCCCTTCTGGAACAGACCGGAATTCTTCGACCATGATGGCATCCATCTCAACAGCTCTGGAAAATCACAGTTTACCTCCCACATCCGTAACTCCATTCACAGCTCCACATGACTATTGTTTACATCTGGTTCTTCTTTGCACTCCGCCGCACCACCACCTCCCAACCACAGTGCCCCTCAATGGCTGCCGACAGAACTCCCCCCCTCATCTCCTTTCCACCATGAAACTCATTATTCCCCACTTGCTGGTTCAATCCCCACCATCATCTGCCACAGACGCCTCCATCCGCCCACTTCATCACTGTCCTCTACCGCACACCCAAACCCAACCCCCCTTTCCTCCAGGACTTCTCAGACTTTCTTCCTCAACTTAGCACCATCTCACCATCCATCCTCCTCCTCTGCGACCTCAACCTCCATCTTCCAACCACCCCACCTCCAGACCTGCTCAAGACTTTTTGGACATCCTCAACCACTGCAATTTCACCCAACACATTAACTTCCCCACCCACAAGCATGGCCATATCCTTGATCCTGTCTGCTTCACCAACATAACCATCTCCAACATCTCCAGCAACAACCTCCACATCTCAGACCACCACGCAATCAGCCTGGACATTCACATCCCTCAACCAAGCCCAACTACCTCAAGGACTATTACATTTCGCAAACTCACCCCCCTCTCCCCAGCACAGTTTGCACTTCAGATGGTAAACTCCATCCCCACCTCCCCTCCCCCTCCTTCTGGCAATACCGGCGACCTCATCAAGCTGTACAACTCCACCCTCTTGTCCTGCCTCGACAATATCGCACCCATCCACCAAAGAACTGTCTCCTTCCGTCGCCCTGCCCCCTGGTAAACCCCCGAGCTCAGGGAGATGAAAAAAACGCCAACTCGAACGCCTCCACAAGAAAACTGGTCTCACTATCCATCTCCATGCCCTCACCGACTACATCCACAAATACAACTACGCCCTAAACACCGCCCGGACCTCCCACTACTCCAACATCATCCACGCCGGCTCCCGCAATCCCAGATCCCTAATCTCCACAGTCAACTGTCTGCTCAAACCCCAGGATCATACCTCCTCATCATTCACCACCAGCAAATGCAACACCTTCCTCAAATACTTCCAAGATAAAGTCAACTCCATCTACAACTCCAACTTCCGCCCCATTACCAATCTACCATTCCTGTCAAAGATCTTAAAATGTGCCGTTGCCTCACAACTCACAGCCCACCTCCAATCGAACAACCTGCTTGAACCGTTCCAATCAGGATTCCGCAACAAGCACAGCACAGAAACAGCACTGCTAAAAAATCACAAATGACCTCCTGCTCCCCCCTGACTCCAACCAATTAACCATCCTCCTCCTCCCGGACCTGTCTGCCGCTTTTGACACCATCAACCACTCCATCCTCCTCAACCGTTTATCATCCGACCTCCACATCACTGGTACCGCACTCTCATGGATCTCATCATACCTCTCCAACTGTCAACAATTCATCCATATCAACCAGTGCTCCTCCTCCACCGTCCCACTCCCCCAAGGTGTCCCCCAGGGATCGATGCTTGGTCCCCAACTCTTCACCCTCTCCCTACTCCCCCTGAGCAATATCATCCGGCAACATGGACTCAACTTCCACTGCTATGCTGACGACATCCAGCTATACATCTCCTCCTGCTCCATCTCCTCCACCACCCTTGCCATGGTCACCTCCTGCCCAGTGGCGATTGCTCTAAGACTGCAAGGGAAGCAGGGCTTCCCTTAAAATGTCACCCCCCCAAAAAAAGAAAAAGTGGTGAAATACGTACTGCTGTGTGTTCATTTCATTAACTAAATACGCGCTAGAAAGTCTTCATCTTTTGTTCAGAATCAGCTTCTTATCACACTGTGATAAGAAGCTGATAATCACAGGTAACCGGCACAACTTCGTTCTCATTCATCCTCGCAGCGCCTCAGCGCGTCACACAGCCGGACACTCAGCGTCTGCTGACTTCAATGTGGAAGCTCAAAGTGGGTTGTTCCAGCAGCAAAACTAGACGCTCATTGGATAAATGCTGGGCTTTGTCCCGCCCATCGGACGCTCAGCTTCTCTGGAGTTCTATGACGAGAGGGCGGTCCCAACTTTCTCACGGACGCTGAGCTTCTGCATCCATGATTGGATGAGCTGTCTGAGGCAAAATCCTTTTTTGACTGACAGCTAAACCAGCGAATCAGCGATCTTGAAGAATAAAACATCTACCAGAGCATTTTCCAAGTTATTCATTCCATTGTTCTTAACTGCTCCCGAGACTTCACCGATCCTCAGCGACTTTTGTCTTTGTTAAAAACGACTGCCGTTGTGTTTGGCGACTCTGTTCTGTTACATATAAATAAACAAACACAATTATGATGTAGGCCAGAAAAATGAGCTTCCCCTCCTTGAAAGACCAGCAGTTGCCACTGCTCCTGCCTCAACGCAATAAAAACCTTGATGCATCACAATTTTCTCAAACTCAACAGTGGCAAATCAGATCTCATAATCATTGGTCCCAAAACCCTCACCAAAACCACCTCAGACATCTCCATCCACTTTGACCGATCCCATATCACCCCCTCTTCACTCGTCCGCAACCTTGGAATCCATCTCGACCCCAACCTCACTTTTGACCAGCATATTTCCCAACTTACCTGCTCCACCTTCCTTCACCTGAAAAACATTGCAAGACTCCGCCCCTTTCTCTCCCCATCTGCTGCCGAAACGTTAATACATGCTTTCATCACCACCAGACTGGACTACTGTAATAGCCTCTTCTACGGTCCCCCCTCCACCACCCTCAAGAAACTTCAACACATTCAGAACTTCGCCGCCAGACTTCTCACCCACACCCACCCATACGACCACATCACCCCCGTCCTCTGTCAACTGCACTGGCTTGCTGTTGCCCACCGAATTCAATTCAAGATCTTCCTCCTCACCTTTAAGTCCCTCCACGACCTGGCCCCCTACCTGTCTGACCTCATTGTCCGCCACACCCCAAACCGCCCCCTCCGCTCAGCTGACGCAAACCTCCTCTCACCCCCAGCCAAAACCAAGCACTGTCCCCTGGGGCACCGGGCCTTCAGCGTCTCCGCCCCCACCCTCTGGAACTCCCTCCCTAAACACATCCGTGAATGCCCGGACCTCATCAGCTTCAAATCTGCATATCTATATATATATATATATATATATATATATATATATATATATATAAATTAACATTCACCTAAAAAAACTAAAAGCATAATATCTATATATATTAACATCCACCTAAAAAACTAAAAGCACTTTTAATGTCTTAATTAAAATGAAATTTTGAGTCCAGGAATTTTATTTTTGTTTACCAATAACAGTACACAACTTCTTGGAAAGCCTCCTTTTCACATGTGTGATGTTGCTTCAGATGGTCTACAACCCATGACCCATTGTAACCACACCATACAGCCAGGCAGTACTGGATTCTAACTTTGTTTTACTACTGTCTCAGTAGAGAAACAGAGATAACGAATTTGTGCATGCCTCTGTCTTTGCTCTGAAAGGGTCAATGGGAATTGATAAAGGATCTGATAAAGATTCAGACCGATAAGCTGAATTGAAAATGACATTGATATCAATAAAATCTTATCAATGCTTATGTAACTCTGACTCTCGCTGTCCTGAGTCCTCCTCTGAAATTGCAACCATTGAGTAATGATGGATGAGGGTGCACGGAGCAAAACTGGGTGGACTGAGTATGGAAAAATATAGAAGTCTGGCATAAACCAAGGCTCTGACGGTAACAAATCCCCCAAAAAATATCTGCAAGCATCTCAGTGTGGGGACTTTCCACAAACAATCCTCACATGTGACATTAGATGCAGTTGAGGATGAGAGGTCAGTCTGAGTCTTCTTTGTTTGCTTGATAACGCTAAGTTGGTCCTAATACATACAACCCTGTCTGTGTTACACAGTGTTGGCCATGTTTCCATGTGTTCGCTGTGAATAAGTGTGTCCTTATCTTTATATACTTTTTTTTATTTTTTACTCTGGCAGATAATTTAGCTGCTTCTGATTGGACACTGCCATAAAGAAAACCAGTTAGGAAGAAAATAGAGTATCTATCTGGACCAAACCAAACGACAGTCATTGTCACTTCTTTCAAGGGCCAAAAAAGAGGCCCTCTAAGAAAAAAAGAGTGTCTTCAGCTCTTGTTAAGAGTCATCTTGTGGAAGAGTCACTTATTGATTCAAAGGGGGCTTTTTCCGTTTCAGTATGCCTCTCCTTTTTCTTCAAAAAATAAATAAATAAAAAAACACTGCTTTGCTGAAAAATGACTGTTTCATAAAAAAAATAAAAAAATAAAAACCACCTGTTTTTGTTGCTGTCCTCTCCATCCACAAGCTGTGCTGTAACATCTGATTTAAGTAGTCCAAAGGGATTACAGACATGTCCAGAGTGTATACCTGCTGGACATGGTAAGCACAGGCAGCTTTACTCAGACCTGAGCTGCATATCTGTGAGGCGCACTCTCCTCTCACATGTGCTTCTGTTTCAGGGGACAGATAGAGCTGACTGTTTCAGGTACATTACTGGACAAACACCATTCAGAAGGTAACATTTACCCTTTATGTAATTCAGAGTTATGAGGGTGGTTTATGTTGATTACTTGGATCTCATCCCCTGTAGAAAACCTCCTGACCAGGAGAGTCTGAAAAACGCTATTTTCAATGTATAATTAATCACTGCTATAGGCACTTAGCTCTTGCCTGTGGTTTCAGACATTAATCAAACCATTTAGAAATTCTCAACTTTAATGCTGATGTTTAGTGTGCAATTGTATTCCTTATAGAAAAATCTGTATTAATGTTTTATTTAATAAGCAAAAAACCCTTCACTGAATCTTTGACCTTGGGTACTGTGTATTAATAAAATAAAAGCCCACCAGCTACAAGTTTAAACACTTTATCTATGGGTGAACGTTTGAACATTGATTATAATGTATCTCGGAGTAATAGAATATAAAGCACTAATTTCCCATACGAACTGTACATATACAGTAATCCCTCGTTTATCGCGGGGGTTACGTTCCGAAAATGACCCGCGATAAGTGAAATCCGCGAAATAGAAAACTTTAATTTTTTTTTACAATTAGCAACTATTACATGTATACAAATACAGTGACTCACGTGTAGGCCGTTTCACTGCTCTTCAGACAGGGCCGCTGCATCCTGACTGCGCTCTGCAGTGTTCTCTTCTTCTGAAGCCCGCGGTGCAGGTGTGTTTGTTCGGGAGAAGAACATAGTGATAGGCAGCTGTTGTCGCTCTTTTTTCTTCTTTGCAAAAAGATCCTTGTACACTGACATGCCACCATCGATTACGTTGGAGAACTGTAATGAACGGCTCATCAAAGGGTCCCATTCCTCAGCTACTCGCTTAAGTTCAGTGCAAGTTAAGTGCAAAAAATGCATTATGAAAATCCGCGAAATAGCGAATCCGCGATAAGTGAACCGCGAAGTGGCGAGGGATCACTGTACAGTACCTGGTGAAGATATTGGCTGAAAGCTAATGATGCATTTAGCAGCACTAAACATCAAACATATGGAGCCACAGTTGTGTTTCCTTATGTCTTAATGTTTCTTAATGACTCTGAGACAAACTAAGATATGTTCAAACTGATAAACGCAGTCTTAAAAAGCTGGGAAAAGGTCATATTTACAGCTGTGTTACATTACTTTTACTTTGAACAACACTCAGTGAGCATTTGTAAACTGAGGACACTGAGACTACATTTACATGTGCTTGACTGTTTTCATAAACGGATATTTCACCCTCTCTGTTTACAAAAAAAAAAAAAAAAAAACTGTGAGCACACCACTATGTTTTCAGAATAGGTTTTATTTACACTAACCCGTGTATATATGCCATCAAGAGCATGCCAAACCTGTAGGCAGCAGTGTAGCGAGTAGCTCAAGCCCACGTTAGGCAATCAGAATCCTGTATAGCAGCAACAACAACAACGTCACTTTCTTCTTTTGGAAAAGATGCAAATGCAAACAAATATAAAGGGATTGCACCAGCATAAATGTAACTGCTATCACCACAGATTGTAAACATAGACTGTAGATTGTAAACAAAATTGCATTTAACCTAGTTTACAGCGCACAATCTGCCGACGGCTACCCAAATCTCTGTTTACCTCTGTTTTTTTCTGTTTACATGCAAACGTGCAAACAGAGTTATCCAAAATCTCCACTCCGGTTGGAGTTTTTAAAAAGCATTGTTTTCAGGGGCGAATTCTTCGTTTGCATCTAAACAAAGGGTGCAAGTGATAGTTAATGTCTCAGTTTTTAAAAATAACTGGGCATGTATATACAGGGCCTGAATGTTCAAGCTTTGGAGGAGGAAATCTTCCTGGACTGCAGGCAGACCAGTCTAGTACCTGCATTAAGGGCCTGATCTGCTAAGAGCCCAAATAACGAGTGCTTAATTGCCTGCGCAGACTAAAAGTTGGTTCATTCTATTAGTGGGCATGTTGTGGGTGATCTACAATGATTGCGTGGCAATAGATAACAGGCACAAAAGTGGTGTGATCCGATCTATTCAAATTAGGATTTTGTGTGTGCTACCGGCTTTCACCATGGAGAGTTTGTGAGAGCAGAGTGGCCATTAAAGAAAAATGAAGTTTAAAGCCATGGAGTCAGAGGTTTTGGTGGTGGAGGAAAATAAACACACTGTTGAACTCCAGCAGAGACATCACGGTGTTGACAGAAGAAAATGATTTGGAAGGCAATTTGTGTAAAGGTGAATACTGTGAGCAAAACCAGATGATCTGCTGAATAAATAAAAAGAAGACGGCAAGATATCGACCGAAGAGGACAGTAAAAACTTACCCTTACCCTTTAATAGATAAGGCTCGAACTCTGTTAACTGACAATGGTTTTCCGAAGTCCTCCTTAGCCTACATGGTCCTTTACAGAATAATGTGGGTTTTATCGTGTGGTCATTGCTGAAGTTGGTATAACTAGAGAAGCAAGCAGTTGGCAACATTTATCTCTCGAGGGGGTGTCCAACTCGGTGTTATGGTGTGTTTGACCTTAACTTAAATTTACGCTGGAATATCCCTTTAAATAAAAAGATTTAAAATGTTTCTGTGGCGTGTGGTGTATTTTGTGGACCCAGAAGCAGACTCAGAGGCAGATAGGAAGTTAAAGATGTATTTTTAATGTCCAAAACTCAGGGTAAAAGGCACGAGGAAAGTCCGGTTGGCTGGCTTTCTGTTGTGTGGGCTGGAGACACTGAGGACAAGCAGAAGAGAATGAGGTTAGAAATCATACGAGGAATCACAGGGAGCAAAAGTCACAAGCACTTAGTCCAGGAGAAGACCAGGAGAAGCGTCTGTACCACTCAGGAGCGAAGACAATACTCAGGCGCTAAGACTGAGGGCTGCTGGCTTCTTAAAGGGCCTTGATTGCCAATGCAGCGCAGGTGTGGAGTCTCGCTCCGCCTCAGCAACCAGAGAGAGGGAGCGCGCTCTGGAAGCAGTCAAGCCAGACCAGGGTAGCATGGGAAACAGGAAGTTAAACCAGGATAAAACAGAAAGTGGAGGCGTCTCACCACAGTTTCACTTCAAATACAGTGAAAATAAAAACGTGTAAAAGCTACCATTTTGAATCCACATACTGTACCACATTCTGTTGTTTTGGTCACACTCGTGTTATGTAGTAGAAATGTCATGTGTTGTTTTCATTGCTGTTTCACAGTCTTGTGTTTTTCATCGTCATAAATCAGAGACTTAAAACTCAGATTCTGTTTTTACTACAATCTGACAATGTTGTGTGAGCACCTGCTGCATATGAGCTTCACTGATCTTCAGATTAATTTAGTCTGAACATCAGTGACATGGTGACATGGAGTTGGAACTGCACGAAAGCAAAAATAACAGGGAAACATAAAAGAGAGCGCGCTGTATGAATTCACATCATAAGCAAACAAACACAGTGGCTCAAATTCATTTTCCTGCTTATTTCCCCCTTTGGGGTTTTTGTGAAAACATCAGAATAAATCTAAATCATCACCGGTCTTTGTCCAATTTCCATACTGGTAAATGCAAAGAAAATAGATGTAACCAGAGGATGACTGTTTACCTGGTCGACAGTCCTGAGAAAATAACATTTCAGTTAATACAATTTCTGGATGGAGCTTATTTCCTGGACCATTTAGGGCTTGAAAGTGTGCCATAAAATATTCATAATGCTTGTTGTTGAAAAAGAAAATCTCCTGCCTCAATTATGGAGGCAATTTTTATGCATGAGATTTGCAAACAAGTTTACCTCATAGGCCTATCTGCTACAGTTGGATGCAGTGATTTAGACCCATTCATCATTCCAACCAGCTGGATGACACGCTGGGTGGATCCAGGCGTCTTAGGGATGGGAGCCACCCAGAGAAATGGTTCAAGGTTACACACACTTCCTCTGCTGCAGTTACTGAGTGACATTTACACAATGTTTCACAAAGGGGTGAGCCGAGGTGAGCTGCTGAGATGCATCATGTCGTGCTTCAGATGTCATACTGTGCAACATTATGGTGTGTTCACTCTTAGAGCTGCAGCTCAGGCAGGAATCGATACATAACCTCACTTTTCTTTAAAAATAAAGCTTTGCTAAATTCTTTTCATTTTCTGACTGGACAGATTTGTCTCTTTTAAAAAGTGCGACTGGATAGGCGCTATAGCTATACATTCACCAACAGCTTTTTTTAAGTACATCTGTTCAAGTGCTTGTTAACATCTATGGCTAATTTGCCAATCACATGGCAGCAACTTAGTGCATTTAAGCATGAAGACAACATGCTGAAGTTTAAACTGAGCATCAGGATGGGAAAGAAAGGTTAAAGTGATTATGACCACTTGTTAAATCCAAGGTTTGCAGAATACCATCTCTGAACTTGTAATACATCCAGCCTTGAATCAGATGGGCTAGAGCAGCAGACAACCACACTGGAGGGCTGCTCCTGTGAGCTAAGAACAGAGACTGAGGCTAAAGGTTCGCCGGAGAACTGGAGAAAGGTTTCCTGGTCTAATGGGTCTGGATTTTAGCTGCAACAAGTAGATGGTGGGTCAGATTTTGGCATAATCAACACGAAAGCATTGATCCATCCTGCTGTATATCAATGGTTCAGACTGCTGGTGGTCTGAAGATTTGGGGGCTATTTTATTGGCACACTTTGGGCCCCTTAGTACCAACTGGACACCATTTAAACACTACAGTTTACCGGATGGCGTTTCTGATTTCTTGAACATAGTAATGAGTTGTCTGTGTAGGTTCTCATATATTCAGGACATGGTTATCTAATTCTTCGTTGAAAGAGCAACTGGACTTGGGGATCTTCAAGATGTTTCTCCTTTAACCCAATTTAGGACACCATCACCTTTAAAATACCCACATAAACGATGTGATTTCAGTTATGAAACCTATCATGAGATAGGGTTGTCTTTCCAGTTTGGGGTGGACACTGGACACCCTTGAACTTTGAACTTTCCTCTGATGTTATGTTGCTGATCACTTATCAAAATAAAGTCATGATCAAATGAGTTTGAAAATAGACAATGACATTTTTTACCTACCTTTGATGTCCAGTGAGGAGAGAATTTGTAAAGATGTTGAGTCAGTGAAACACTGAAGACATACTCGGTTTACTCACGGTTTATTCTTGTACCTATAAAAGGAGAAGGATTCAAACTCTGCTCTGACATGGTGAGATGGATTGTGGACATCTTGAGCTAAGGCATGTGGCCTTTGTGGATCTGAAGTAACCCGGGGATCTCTATGAAAATTAGGTGTTAAGATTAAATCTCTGACTGAATTTGGATCAAGTGGGAAACATTCCATATCAGCAGAGAGAAGGTTTCTGATCAGTCAGTAATCACAGTACAATGTTTGTACATGCTGGTGTGAAGATATTATTTTTTAGCTTAAAGCTCCAGGGTGGAGTTCATTAGTGTTAATGAAATAGACAAAAACTATGTTGATGCTTTAATAATGTACAAGAGCAAACATGATCATCAACAGCAAGATCAATCTTTCTATAGTGTCATTTTAAAGCCAGAATCTCATGCCAGGGGGTAGATGTCAGTCAAGCAGCTGAAGAAACAGTCCTGTTTTTATATTTTACACTTATAATGTTGACAGATGTCTCCATCAACAGGACTTTTTTTTTTTCTTCAGATGACTCTCTATAAGAATGTCAATGCCAACAGGGGGAGCCAAATTAACACAAACCCAAAGGAGCTTTTCCTGTCATTAGAAATCCTGATTTTATCCATCTGTTACATACTCTCTTTGAGCTTATTCAGGCTGTTAATCTCTCCAGTGAAATGTTGATTGCATTATTGTAGATATATGGACATACCAGAGACGAACAACAGTGTTTGCTCCAAATGTTTGTCAACTCATTAATAGCACCGCTAGGATATTTTACGAGTGTATTCCATTGTAGCTTAAGGTGTGAACAGTCAGATGTGCCACTCTTATTTCAGAACATTACAGCTTGAATTTAACTTATTCTTTAAACACTCTGGGCACTCTCAGTAGACACATACTGTATCTCTGAAAGCATCTTGTCAGGTAAGTGATTAAGCCAATTTTTTAAGGTTGACATGACAGGAGAGCAACTTCTATATAAAAAAGCTTTCAGATGAAAACCTTGAACACAGTTTGTGAGTTCTCTTGCTGTATGTTTGCTGATAAGTTTACCTTAAAGTTCTGTCCCAGTTTTGTGAAGATAAGACTTTGTCAGGTTGCTGGTTCAAGCGAGGCTTACAGGGCACAGCTATCGACTGCAGACAGAGGGGGATTTCTGCACCAACTCTCCCATCACATATTAGGTGAACAAAAGGTCAAAAGTCCTGCAGTCGTCCTTGAGGCTGGACGTGGAGTTGGAGGTGCTGAAAGAAAAATCAATCGGGGTGGAAAGGTGTTGATGCGAGATGAGGCGCACAATGATTGGATATATGAAAACTGCACGCCTTCCTGAAGGTGAAAGCTTGGTCAGATTATACCCGCTTATTTTTCCTTAAAATCTTGAGATATAACCCAAGAAATGATGGGGGTATATTTATTGTAAGATCATTGCACTTTTGACCATTTTGACCTTTAAGAGATTCTTTTAATTTACCCCCTAGTTATCATAATATTTTGGGTTAAGTTGTAAATAACTGACCTTTTAAATTTTTATTTTTTATTTTATTTTATTTTATTTTTTACATTTCTACATCATTGTATTGGATGTTTATTAGAGTTAGAGGGATATTGTAGTATTTCTGAAGTGAAGATGTATGGTTTTTACATTAATTTAAACTAACATGTTTACATCATAGACTGTATATAGAATGGATGCCGTCTGCCTCCTTGCTGGGTGAAGCCACCGCGAGAACAGCACCCTCTGGTGACGGGCTGCAGTATAGGTCATAAATCCTGCCTCCTCCAGCGATCCCTATGGAGCTGTGGACAAACTTTAGAAATTTATTACACAGAACATACATTTTCTCCCCCCTAGTTGCGATGTTGACATGTAGTTACCTAAAGACTGGTTTGTGCTCAAGTCCTCTTTTTCTGTGCAGCTCCATTTTTAAAAGTTATTGGGGGGTTCATGTTTTCTAAAATTGACACTTGATACAGCCTATGGATGTACAAAGATTGCTTAGCGCGGGGGATACGCTGTTTAAGCCAAGTGTAGAAAAATACTGTGCAAGTGGTAGTTCCAATTAGTGGAGAAAATCCCTAAAATACTGAGAGGGATTTAGCCTCTGTGATTTGTAAAATGACAGAAGGTGGAGCCAAGTTGTCCATAGTATATACAGTCCATGGTCTACATGCATTTTAAAGGTCCAGTTTCAGTTGGATTTCTGCAACTGACTGGCAGTTGTGATGCAAAAAATAAAAATCACAATATATCAGTGTCAAATATGTCACAGACTCTATAAGCTGAACACGCTGCATGCAGAATACTGTTCACTCGTTGTTTTTGTGGAAAAACGAATGGGCTTTCTGAATTTTTTGAAAATTCCTCAGCATGCATCGCTACATCAATATGAATGAGGGGTCAAAATATCTTAAATTTGGCAAAATTACATGGCAGAGTCAACCCTGTCAGCAGAAAACTTACAAACCTTGCACCCTGTTTCTCCTGGCAGGGGGTAGAGATGGAACTGATCAGCATCCAATGTGATGGGAGACTTGTAACTCATACAACCCCACCCTAAAAATGCTGACATCTCAATTTAATGGGCTTTATTTCTTTCATCAGTAGTGATACTTCACTGATTTGAGTGAGAGTGCAACAATAATGTTTGCATGCACTTCAAGGTGTGGCTACATAAGAGCTGGAATCCCATTTAAAAAATTTGCGTGCTCCTTCTGCTGATATATCATAAATGACAGTTAGTGTAATACTGTGGTGATGTGATTACATATTTTATCCATCCAGAGTAGCATTTCATTGCATTCTGACACATTATTACGCCGTCCAGCAGGTGACACTTAATTGGTTGTTACATCGGGGGAAAGCGAGTGACAGCAGACGCGATACTCATTAACACAGACTGAGAGGAATTCATTTCGCAGAGCGGACATAATCAACTCTGGCAGGCTTAAATTTCAGCCTTTTTACAAGAACTCTAGAACTTTTTGCCAAACTTTCCTTAAACCCGGCGAAGTTTTTCCTGGAAATAAACAAAGTCTACACCCAGTCAGCCTTCCCGTAAGATGTTGTCTTTAATGAGGTTATTAATATAAAATTCAGGGAATGAACGAGACGATGAGGCTGCAGAAGCCAACAGTAGATAAGGCTCGCTTACAAGAAGCTCTTTGTAATGGACACCGCACTGTATGGGGAATATGAGAGTCCCCACATGCAAACTTGAGGTCATGACTTTCAAAACACTTACTGAAAGACAAAATACCTACTGCAGACCTTACCCGGTCTCAAACTGTAATGACTAGATGCACTGCAGGACTGCCAGTGTGCAAATCCTGCAGAAATGAACTTCAGAAAAAAGTACATCAAAAGAACTAAAAGGGGCCACCGCCCTGCGAAACAAAACTTTGTTGTAGTTTTTGGAAGGAAGTGCTGACAGTTAAGGTCAGAGATAAGAGAGGAGTAAAATAATTGGTATGAACACCCCCAGAAGGCAGCGCTGTCAAATTAACAACAATACGTAATAACTGAACTGTTATTTTCCTGTATGCATCAAATGTTTGTTGTTCACAAAGACGCGTTTATTTTCATTTGTCCGAGCAGACGGGATATCAAACCAGTAACTCCATTAATGTGACAGCACTGAAGCTGGATGTGTTGTAGGCTTGAGTTAAATAGTCCTGTCAAATAACTCTCCTCATCCCAAATATAGAGACTCGGGTTGTGTTCTCGCTTTGAAAAATCTGTGTCTCACTCAGACTGAATTTAAAAATGGTGACAGCTTTCATGGTTTCATCCGTGCTGATGGGTCAGCTGGTCAATCTCTTTGGTCCAGATTACACAAGTGTTACTGGAACTTCATGAAATGTTTTTTTGAGGTATTTATAGATGCGAGCAGATGGATCCTGCCTCATTAGTTGTTTGCCTGATCTGTCTTTTACCGTCATGAGATGAACCATTTTGCTAAGTGATTTGTCTCAACAACTATTAGATGGATCATTGGTTAAATGGATTCAAACCCAATGTGTCAAGTCAAATGATTTGACATCTCTTAAAGATACTCTCTTTCTTTCATTTATTTCCAGAACACATTGGATACAAGTACAAACAAAAAACTTAAAGCCTATTTTAACAACCAAAATGCAAGGTTTTAAATTGTCAACCAAAAGTTCTTCAAGGCTGATCTCCATCTCCAAAGTTCAGTGGCATACAGCCTGGGCCCTGACGCAGGCTGCAGGATCCATTGATGGCTGTCTGTGCACATGACATCTAAGAAAGACAGGTGTTTATTTATTTTAGCTGTTGGAACACATTGAAGCCTGTGCACATGGGGACAGTCTGTGCTGTTGTTTTTGGCACATGTAGGGCTGACGTGAATAGAGAGTGGTGATGATATTGTTGTTATCTGAAATCACCTGAACAACCTCCAAAGCAATATCAATATGGATAACACTTTGAACTGAGTCCAAGTTTACATCTTACACACACAAAACACTTAAGGGTTTGGTGTTGGTGGCTTAGCGACCAATTTTGCCAAGCGAACTCTAAAACTTTTCTGTTTTAGTCTTAGACATGAAATCTATTTACAGTATGAACACTTCTCTGTTATGACATTTACTATTCTTTTTCCTACCATAATAAACTATACCATATCCGAAATGGTGACCAAGCCTGTAGGCTTAGATCCTCAGGTACTGCCCTCCTGGTTGTCCCAAATTTAAAGCCTAGAAAACTAAAGCTGACTGTGCCTTTGTCAGCTGTCTCTAAACCACTGTCAGCCTTCATGGTTTCATCACCTTAGAAGACGTCTTCAGCCGTCACTCTAACACTAGTGTCTGGACTCCACAAGGGGATAGACTTACCAATGCTCAGGAATGACACCTTTTGATCACCTTGTCTGAGATTCTGCACATGGTTTAATAATTTAGCACCACATCATCTCTGTAACAACAACAACAAAAACAAAAAGTAAATTTTTAGCTTATCTATGACTTGATTCCCCTGGTTAAATTGTGAAGTGACGCTTAACCAAACTGTTCTGGGGACTTTTTGAAGAGGAGGGACCTCACTGAGATTGACCCTTTTTGCAGTCTGCATGCTGGCCAACAGTTCAAGCAATGTCACTTATGCAAAATTGAAATTATAGGCTGGAGACTGTCATGGTAATTAGGTGTTATTGGTTTATAAATTTAAAGCTATGGTCTATGATCTGAAAACCAGTTTGGCTGTTGAGACAGATTTGAAAATTGCAGCCTGCCCCCCCTTCACTCACCCCTCTCCTTCGTGTTCCAAGATCCCCCCCCCCCCCCCCCCAGCTTGTGTCGCCCCCTAACAACACACCCCCTCCGATAGAGCAAGAAGCCGGCTGGCAGAAAATATCATCAGCAGCCATTTCAAGCCAATTCATTAGACCAGCACAATCAAAACCATATATTAGCGGGGAGAAACAGGTCTGGCGTCGCCACTGCTAGCTGGTCAGAGCAGAGCCGATTGTAGGTGAGGCTTTACCTTTCTCGGCAGCTCAGTCTACAATGCTAAAGATGTGTGGCTAACTTATGCTAAAATCTGTTGACAGAGCCTACCCGTTCCAACCAACAGCGTTCAGTCATTAGCCAGTACAGGCACAGACTAACCAGAGTTATTCAGCAGACATCTCCCACTGTAGTAAACAAAGTAATTACCTGTTCAACAGAAGTTCGTCTGTCTCAGCATCAGTTTTCAGTCCCAAGTCCTTCTGCAGCTTTTTCCACCGGTCGTACGTTTCTCCAATGTAGACTCTCTGTTGGCACCTGTATCGCTCATATTTCTTCCTTACTTCAGCATTTTCCTCAAAGCTTTTATGTTTCCTTCCCTTCGATGTGAAGGGTAACAGAAGCGGCCTCCTAGTTTCGGTGTTTGTCTTCTCTGGCTCGATTACGCTTTAGTAGCTGTGCAGCTAGCTAATAACATGTGCGTGAGGGGGGTAGTGAGAAGGAGGCGGGACCATGGGCGGAACGGTGTGGAGCAGGGGAGACAGGGGATTGGATGGACTCACAGACCACTCCGAACCGTGGTTCGGATTCGTCGATTATTATGCCTTTTTGCAGCAGATATACTGAATGGATTTTTTTCATTCTTTTTGATCTTTATATTGCGTAGATCGGATCATAGGACCATAACGGCCTTATAAACGTTGTTATTAATAAGTACCAAGCTTCCAAATGGTAGACTATAGCTTTAAAGTAAAGTGGGATTTAAAGAATGGTGGTTGGTGTT